TTACTGTGAGCCTGATGTGTCTCTTTAGGTTTAGAAGGTGAGTGAGCCGTGGCTGGGGAGGATGGCCCGGAAGCTGGAGCTCGCAGGCTAACCCTGCACTCTCTCCATTCCTTAGACTGGAGGTGCCTTTGATAGGGATCCTTCCTACACACTGGGGGTTTACTTGCAATTTAAGACCTCACATTTTATATTCGTATGAATAGGGAAAATATATTTTGTAAAACCATATGTAAAACTCATAAAGGATTCACAGGTAGGGTCATTATATTTTTCCATCTATTTTTATGTGTGTTTGTAACTATTTAGAGTTTCACTCTCGTCACCCAGGCTGGAGTGCAGTGGCGCAATCTCAGCTCTCTGCAACCTCCCCCTCCCAAGTTCAAGTGATTCTCCTGCCTCAGCCTCCCAAGTAGCTGGAATTACAGGCAGGTTCCATCACGCCTGGCTAATTTTGTATTTTTAGTAGAGACCGGGTTTCTCCATGTTTGTCAGGCTGGTCTAGAACTCCTGACCTCAGGTGATCCACTCATCTTGGCCTCCTAAAGTGCTGGGATTACAAGTGTGAGCCACCATGCCCAGCCTGAAATTCTTTATTATTTAAAAAAAAATTTTTTTTGGCCAGGTGCAGTGGCTCATGCCTGTAATCCCAGCACTCTGAGAGGCCAAAGCATGTGGATCACTTGAGGTCAGGAGTTTGAGACCAGCCTGGCCAACATGGCAAAACCCCGTCTCTACTAAAAATACAAAAATTAGCTGGGCATGGTAGCACAGCTAATTACAGGTGGCACACTCCTATAATCCTAGCTACTTGGGAGGCTGAGGCAGAAGAATCACTAAAATCTGGGAGGCAGATGTTACAGTGAGCCAAGATCGCACCCCTGCACTCTAGCCTGGGTGACAGAGCGAGACTCCATCTCAAACAAAATAATTTTGGGTTAATGTAATGATAGTGGAAAGAAAAGTTTTGAGAGGCATGCTGATTCTTAGCATACTCTAGCGGGTGTGGAGTACAGAGGACACAGCCAGCTCTCACGGCCAAGGGCCTCGTTTTCCATGCTACCTTGCCTGTCACCTCTCCCAGATCCTGGGAAACTGTGACCACTATTTGAAGGCAGGATTCAGTTTGGCATTTTGGAGATGTCAGCTTAAAGATAGTGTGAGGTTTTTCTGTAGTCTGTGCATTTCGGTCATCTGTCCCATCCTCATGTTACAGGTAAGCAGTGGCAGCATTTTCCAGATATAAGCTGACACACTGAAGCTGAACTGTAAAAAACACATATCTTCCCTGTGCACCAAAATAAGGTAAAATTATGGAGCATCAGAAACACAATGCATATTCTATGTAGAGGCTGTGTGGCAGTGCCAAATAACGTTCCAGTTTCATCCTGATTTCATCAGTCAACAATGTAGCCATGCGAAATGACATTTTTATTTTATTTATTTTGGGAGACAGAGTCTTGCTCTGTCCCACAGGCTACAGTGCAGTGGTTGAGTCTCAGCTCACTGCAACCTCCACCTCCCAGACTCAGCCTCCTGAATAGCTGGGATTAGAAGCACCTGCTACCATGCCTGGCTAATTTTTGTGTTTTTAGTAGAGACGGGGTTTTCCCATGTTGGCCAAGCTGGTCCCGAACTCCTGACCTCAAGTGATCCACCAGCCTTGGCCTCCCAAAGTTCTGGGATTACAGGCACGAGCCTCCACACCAGGCACAAAATGACATGTTTAGATACAGATATAGGAGTCTATGAAATTTCAAAATATTTTAAGAAATTTTTGTTATAATAGCTTCAGATTACAAACAAAAATCTAGTGTCTTGGTGAGCGCTGCCAGTTTCATTGCAACTTCTCAGCAGGTGCCCATCTGCTGATGTAATGTATGATAATGAAGTGGTGCCTAACTTATGAATGCATGAGAAAGGCTAGACCTTACCAGTTGTTTTAAGGTAAGATCTGCTACTAACTAGTAGGAGGTGTGTATTTTATTAGACTGAAATTCACTTGCAAAAATATTCTAAAAAATCGCCTTTATATTAAAAAAAAAATGTGGAAATCTACATCTTTTCTTGTGCATTCTACTCAAAGAAGATAGGGCCTGGTACATTTACCTGAAAAATACTTCAGTATTCTAATAGAAAAACTGAATCTGCTGAGGGATTCACAGCAAACTCTTAAAAGCCATCTGAGTCTCTATTTTCTCATTTACTGAAGTGGTTTTTGGGGACTTCGGGTTTTTTGTTTTTTTTTTTTTGGAGATGGAGTCTCTGTCACCCAGGCTGTAGTACAGTGACGCAGTCTCGGCTCACTGCAACCTTCACCGCCTGGGTTCAAGCGATTCTCCTCCCTCAGCCTCTTGAGTAGCTGGGACTACAGATGCACATCACCACGCCTGGCTAATTTTTGTATTTTAAGTAGAGACAGAGTTTTGCCATGTAGGCCAGGCTGGTCCCAAACTCCTGACCTCAAGTGATCTGCCTGTCTCTGCCTCCCAAAGCGCTGGGATTACAGGCAAGAGCCTGTAACTGTGCTCAGACTACTGAAGTGGTTTTTATATGCTGATTTGTTCCTACCTTCCATTGCTTTTGTTTTGCTACAGCCCCATAGAAGAATCTGTGTTGATCCGGAAATATTAAGTTGTGGCTGGATGAGGTGGCTCATGCTGTAATCCCAGCACTTTGGGAAGCCAAGGCAGGTGGATCACCTGAGGTCAGGGGCTTGAAACCAGTCTGACCAATATGGAGAAACCCCATCTCTACTAAAAATACAAAATTAGCTGGGCATGGTGGTGCATGCCTGTAATCCCAGTTACTCAGGAGACTGAGGCAGGAGAATTGCTTGAACCTAGGAGGCAGAGGTTGTGGTGAGCCGAGATCGCACCATTGCACTCCAGCCTGGGCAAAAAGAAGGAAACTCCATCTCAAAAATAAAGAAGTTGTAACTGTGAAATGTTAATAAAGAATGACGTCAGGCACAATGGCTCACGCTTGTAATCCCAGCAGTTTGGGAAGCCAAGGCAGGTGGATCACCTGACATCAGGAGTTCAAGACCAGCCTGACTAACATGGTGAAACCCCATCTCTACTAAAAATATAAAAACTAGCTGGGTGTGGTGGCATGTACCTGTAATCCAAGCTACTTGGGAGACTAAGGCTGGAGAATCACTTGAACCCAGGAAGCGGAGGATGCAATGAGCCAAGATGGCACCATTGCACTCCAGCCTAGGCGACAAGAGCAAAACAGTCTCACACACACAAAAAAAAGAATGAGTAGCACTGTAGACATGATTTCTAGCCTGAAAGCAGTTGGAAGAGTCTAGAGTTTAGTTCTAAGGCTGTTGGTAGGAGGAGCCAGCATGGCATCATATTTTATTATATGTAAAGCTAGATGAAAAGCTTTTCTCATGCTGATTTAGTGTCGATAGTTAAATTCCAGCACCTTTTATATAGTTATACTTCATTTTTCATTGCTTTCTGCCGGGTCTGAGGATTTGGAGTGAGCACCACCTTGTGCAGATGTTCAGATTCGATTCTTAAAGAAAAAGTCATATTTCAGAATCCCTCTCCTTTTTTTCCCCTCTAAGATATAACCTGATATTTGAAAATAAGCATTTGGAATAAGTGCAACATCTGGTCTGTTTAAATCAGGCATGGGTTCCAAATGGTTATTTCCCCAGTTTGATTTACTTGAAATTTAGCTTTTTAAAATTCCCATCGATGATGGTGGTGATAATGATTAAAATGAAATGGGGGACATTGCCTCTTAACTGTAAAATTCACCTATGTGTACTACTATCTTTTTGAGCCTACTTACCCTACAGTTTGTGCTAAACTTGGGAAATCAAAGTTTAAATTTCTAATGAGAAGGTTAAACGTGGATTGGAAGAAAGTTTTACAAACATCCTCTGTTGGTTACAGAGATTGTCATACTAAATATTTAATTTAAGACACTATTACATGGGGCGCGGTATCTCACGCCTGTAATCCCAGCACTTTGGGAGGCCGAGGTGGGTGGATCACTTGAGGTCAGCAGTTCGAGACCAGCCTGGCCCACATGGTGAAACTCCATCTTTACTAAAAATACAAAAATTAACCAGATGTGATGATGTGTGCCAGTAGCCCAGATACTCGGGGAGGCTGAGATGGGAGAATCACTTGAACCTTGGAGGCAGAGGTTGCAAGGAGCCAGTGTTGTACCACTGCACTCCAGCCTGGGCAACAGAGCAAGACCCTGTCTCAAAAAAACAAACAAACAAAAAAAGGCAGTATTAAAAGCTTTGAACATTGAGACAGTTAAGTCTGTAAAACACTTTTTTTAAAAAATGCTTCTCACCGGGCAAGGTGGCTCACACTTGCAATCCCAGCACTTTGGGAGGCTGGCGGATCACCTGAGGTTGGGAGTTCAAGATCAGCCTGACCAACGTGGAGAAACCCTGTTTCTACTAAAAATACAAAATTAACTGGGCATGGTGGTGCATGCCTGTAATCCCAGCTACTTGAGAGGCTGTGGCAGGAGAATCTCTTGAACCCAGGAGGTGGAGGCTGTAGTGAGCCTAGATCAGGCCATTGCACTCCAGCCTGGGCAACAAGAGCAAAACTATGTCTCAAAAAAAAAAAAAAAAATGCTTCTCACTTCCCTATGCACCCCAAAATTTATAAACTAGTAAACTTAGCATCTGACCAAGAACATTGCTATAAAGATGATTCTTCAGTCCAATAAGATCAGCCAGACTTCGATCATTTACCTTTACCTTTTTTGGGGTTAATTGTATAATTTCTACTTCTTTAATGTGGAATTCATAAAATGTCGTGGCAGGGTTTCTCATGCATTTGTAAAATGTTCTTCAAATGATAGAAACGGCTCTGTCATGAAGCCAGAGTTTTTATGCAGTTTCTCTTAGAGAAATAACATTCTTTATCCTAGATCCGATGTCCAGTTTTCACAAGCTGATTGCTGAGAAGGTTCTAGGCGACGTCTGTTAAAAAGCATTGCTTTCTGTTAATTAGACATGTGCAAGCCAGCCAGCGCACCATAGCCTTAATTGCAGAAATGATCCACACTGCTAGTCTTGTTCATGATGACGTTATTGACGATGCAAGTTCTCGAAGAGGAAAACACACAGTTGATAAGATCTGGGGTGAAAAGAAGGTACGTCTTTCTGGTTTTTTAAAACCTCTTGGGAATCACATGCTTTTTGGACCACAGTTGTTTTTCAGCTTTGTCTCATTAATAAGTGAAATATGCTTGCTCAAATGTAATGTGGTCTTCCAAATTTCAAAAAAGTATTCGTGTCTTATCTATGTAGAGACAAATATTTTTCTTTGGCCTTTTCTATTACTTAAACTTCGTATTTCTAATAGAATTCCTTTGGTCATAAGGAAAGGGATTTTCATGGGTCTCCAAAAGTGTATTTCTTAGGGAATCATACATTTTAGTTTTGGGCTTAGATTACCCAGATTCAGTTTAATTTTTTAAAATTTGTTTAATTGAGTGCTTCATGTAAATGTCAAAACAAAAAAAAAATAAAAAGAAAATGTCAGAGAGGTACTGTGCTACCATGAAAATTTTATCTTTTGAAATGGAAGTTCTGTAATTGGGTTGGTTCATATATGTACATATTAAAGCATATTTCTGTATTGCTAGCATGGGGAATATGGGAAGCAGGGAGTTTGGTTTGAGGATGCAGAGATCCCGGGTTGAAGGATGAGAATAGGGTTGAACAAATGAGAATAAAAATGCACAGGCCTTTGAGAGCAGGCGTCTGTCACCGTCACCACACATGTGCCTCCACTGAAGAGCAAGCAAAGGTTTGTGTGGGCCGGCGCCGTGGCTCACGCCTGTGATCTCAGCACTGTGGGAGTCCAAGGCGGGTGGATCACCTGAGGTCAGGAGTTTAAGACCAGCCTGGCCAACATAGTGAAACCCCATCTCTACTAAAAATGCAAAATTTAGCCAGGCATAGTGGCTCACGTCTATAACCCAGCGCTTTGGGAGGCTGAGGTAGATAGATGACTGGAGGCCAGGAGTTCGAGACCAGCCTGGCCAACAGGGTGAAACCGTGTCTCTACTGAAAAAAAAACACAAAAACTAGCCAAGCATGATGGCATGTGCCTGTAACCCCAGCTACTCAGGAGGCTTAGGCAGGAGAATTGCTTGAATCCAAGAGAGGGAAATTGCAGTGAGCTAAGATCGCACCACTGCATTCCAGCCTGGACATCAGAATGAGACTTTTTTTTCAAAAAAAAAAAAAAGTTTGTGCAAATATAACTGCCCCACCCTCACCTCCTCTCTCACAGATTTATAGTATCTCTGGTTCCTTCCTATTTAATTCTCCTCACTAAAAAAATAATTATATATGTTCATCGCTATCTTCACGTGCTGATTTTATTTGACCATAAATGACTTTGTTTTGAAATCAAGTCCTGCAATTTCATTTCTATGCCTTTTATTTCAAATTTTACACTAAAAGGTTTATGTCCTGTTGACTGAACTGTATACCTCAGAGAGTTAGCCAAAAAAAGCGGATGGCATTTTGGTTTGGAGAGGACATGGTAGCTCTGTGACCCATCCCTGCAATCAGCTGTGTCTGTTTTCAGGCAGGGCCAGTCCTAAAGCCTTATTTGGAGCCTTGGGTGGGGGAGGAGGATCAAGAGAACAAATGAAGGTCTTCTCCTTGGCTAGCCCCGCCGTGTGTCTGCCTACGCCGTTGGGGGCATCTTTCTGAGAGCAGGTCAAGGACACGTGTGCCACCCTCACCTGCCTCTTCCAGCTCTGACAGCCGTCTGCTCAGCCCAGGGCTACCTGCCAGGTTCCTCCCTGACCCACAACTGCTATGTTACCAGTTGTGGGTCACACACACACACACACAGTGCCCTCTTGGTGAGCCCTTATTAGGCCTGGTCTGGGCTTCCTAGCACTTCCTTCCTTTAACTCCCACCGCTGGCCTTCCACAGTCCGTGTCATATGCTGGACCTTTTGGCGTCTAGGATACCCCCGGCCTGGAGAAGAAAAAAGTAAAGGCCAATGGATCCTGAGCCCTGAGCTGCTAATGATGTAAGGGCCGGGCAATGTAAATGTGTACCTATGTATCATAATTTGTAAAATGACTTTGTAAGCATATAATTACATCAGGGTATCTTAAATTATTATATAAAGTGGTGATGAATTGGTAAACACACTTTTACCATCAATGTTTTAGATACTGAAGAACTAAGATGATAAGTATCTAAAATAGTTAAGTTAAAAATTCTGTGAACTCTAGCCTTTATGACTAATTACTATAGAATATAACACTTAATGGCCAGGCGTGGTGGCTCATGCCCGTAGTCATAGCACTTTGGGAGCCCAAGGCAGTTGGATCACTTGAGGCCAGGAGTTTGAGACCAGCCTGGCCAACATAGTGAAACCCCATCTCTAGTAAAAAGATATAAATTACTGGGCATGGTTGTGCATGCCTGTAGTCCCAGCTACTCAAGAGGCTGAGGTAGGAGGATCGCCTGAACCGGGCAGAGGCTGCAGTGAGCTGAAATTGTGCCACTGCACTCCAGCCTGGGAGACAGAGCAAGACTCTGTCTCAAAAAAAAAAAAAAAAAAAAAGTAACATGTATCTTTAAATATGCAGATTAATATGAAATATCGTTTGATTTTAGCATATAATTCAACTATTTATGCAGTAATTTGTAACTAGTTGCTAATACAGTGTAGACGTCCATCACAATCTGAACAAGATTGGAAAGATGTTGATTATTTAGTGTTCAGTGGAAAAAAATTTTTTTTTTGCCTAGGAATGAGGGGCAGTGTCATATGGTACAAAAAGCATTTCACTTTGAGCCAAAATTCCTTGGTTTAGTTTTCATTGAAAATAACACGTATCGTGCCATGCTCTGGAGTGTGCTCAGTACTATCTGAGATTATTCCTAGTCCAAGCTCCCTCTCCACCCCACCGTTCCCACTGCACTGGGAGCTTAGAGACTAGAGAGCATCCCTGACTGGTATGCAAGGTGTGGTGGTCGCGGTGTGCACGGGTGTTGTACTCACACAAAAGGAAGGCATCTAACCAGACTGAAAAATCGGGGTGGGTGGAGGGACTTCCTGGAGGTGGCATCTGAGCTCATTATGCAAATAAGTCCACTCAGTGAAGAAGGCGGCAGAACTTTTTGAGCAGAAGGACCAGTAAGTGGAAAGGCACAAGGAAAGAGTGGACATCCAGTGTGGCAAAACTGAAGGCAGCTGCATTTTGGTGGGGCTGGCAGGTGAAGCTTGTGAGGGGAAGCTGCCCTCCCTTTCCAGGCGCTGATTTCTTCAGCTGTCACCTGGGGAGATGGACATGGTCATCTCCGAGAGCCAGTCCAGTTCAAACACTGTTCCAAATCTGTAACCGATTATTACAAACTGGAAAGTGACAGAGTCATCTCTGAGAGCCAGTCCAGTTCAAACACTGTCCTAAATCTGTAACTGATTGTTAGACTCCTGCTGAGGAAGAGGAAGGTTAAAAAAAGAAAAACCTGCATCCAAGATGAGCCCCCCTTCCACGAAGATCCCTTCCAGTCAGTTTCATCTTTGGCTCTATTGCTCTGATACTTTTTTTGAACATTGTGTTTTCCCCCTGTCTTTTTCTAGGCTGTTCTTGCTGGAGATTTAATTCTTTCTGCAGCATCTATAGCTCTGGCACGAATTGGAAATACAACCGTTATATCTATTTTAACCCAAGTTATTGAAGATTCGGTGCGTAGTATGTTGCTTCTCATTTTTCTTCTTTGTTATTCAATCCTGGTGTTAAGCCAGGCAATAAAACCACCTCTTGAATGACCCCTTTCCTTCTTTACAGGTGAATTTCTTCAGCTTGGGTCAAAAGAAAATGAGAATGAAAGATTTGCACACTACCTTGAAAAGCCCTTTAAGAAGACCGCCAGCCTGATAGCCAACAGTTATAAAGCAGTATGTACGTTCTGTCTTTCTTCAAGTTAAAGCCTCATGCTCTTTTATGGGATCTAATACTCCCAGAAAATATTTCAGTGAAGAATCATAAAATAGTACCCCAAAATCCCAAGAGGTTAATGAGGAAAAGAATGACATCCCCAAACGATGGAGGACTTCTGCTGTGTTTTCATTTTTGCCATCTTCCTTTGGTATGCAGGTGTTGACTTTCCATCTTTTCTTCCCAAGAACCAAATCAAAATAAGCCTTCCCACACCTCCCCCTATCTAATTGCCAAACTGTGTATCATTTTGAACAATTTATTATAAATAATTTCTCTAATGATTGTTGTCACACACACTGTTTCTGACACTTCACCTTTTAAAAATGAAGTGCTCTGTTCTTAAATATATTTACCCAGGGCCAGGTGCGGTGGCTCATACCTGTAATCCCAGCACTTTGGGAGGCTGACGCGGGTGGGTCATGAGGTCAAGAGATCGAGACCATCCTGGCCAACATGGTGAAACCCCGTCTCTACTAAAAATACAAAAATTAGCTGGGCATGGTGGCAGGCACCTGTAGTCCCAACTACTAAGGAGGCTGAGGCAGGAGAATTGCCTGAACCCAGGAGGCGGAGGTTGCAGTGAGCCAAAATCGTGCCACTGCACTCCAGCCTGGTGACAGAGTTAGACTCTGTCTTAAAAAAAAAAAAAAGTGTGTATATATGTGTGTGTGTGTGTGTGTGTGTGTGTGTGTGTGTTTACCCAGGAAAAAAATCTCTTAGATTGTACTAGTATTCTATATACTACTTTTTTTTTTTTTTTTTTTTTTTTTTTTTGAGACAGAGTCTTGCTGTGTGGCCTAGGCTACAGTGCAGTGGTGTGATCTCCGCTCACTGCAACCTCCTCCTCCCAGGGTTCAGGTGATTCTCCTGCCTCAGCTTGCTGAGTAGCTCGCACCACAGGTATGCGCCATCACATCCAACTAATTTTTGTATTTTTCTTAGGCATGGGGTTTTGCTATGTTGGCTGGGTTGGTCTCGAACTGGCCTCAAGTGATCTGCCCACCTTGACCTCCCAAAGTGCTTGGATTACAGGCGTGAGCCACCTCACATGGCCAAGCCTTCTAATGTTTTTACACGAAATATAAACAATTCCTATTTCTTCAGAGTATAAGTTGAGTATAAGCCATAACTGTTTTTCTCCTGGCTTTCTCCCTGCCTTCCCTCCACTTTGCATACACATGTATACATTTTTCTTTGAGTAAGTAATACTTTTAATTTGTAGACCAATGTTTGGTATTCATTGATAGTCCAAGAATGAGAAACATTTCTCTCCATAGAATTGTTCATCTGCCTATCTCTAAGCCTGACAAATACACAGAGATAAAAGCTGGACAAAGGATGTTAGAGACAGAATGCTTATTCTCAGGTGTCACAAGGAAAAATTAGCATTCAGACAAAAAGTTTTCTCAGCAAGGCAATTTTACTTTCTGCACAAAGGGTGCAGAAAGGAAAAATGCTATTTTTTCCTTACAACACCTGAGAACAAGCATTCTGCCTCTAACATGATATTCCCATGTAATTACAGCCACAAATAAGGAAAACCTCTAAAGGTCACATTTAAATTGCTGTTATGATAGACTCCTAACATAATTAACAGGTAAAGAGAGCTTTTGCTCAGAACTCTCAGGTGAAGAAGTCGCTTATGTTAGTGTCTCTGTTTTGAAAGTGTCGAGAAATGTATAATAGCAAGCCAAAAAAAAATGAGGACAAACTTTTCTTCCTAAAAAGACCTGATGGAAACTTTAAGGAATGTGAATTATGTAGAACACACCGGCCACAGTCTCGACTGCTTTTGTCTTTTTATTAAAAGGGCTATTATGTTTTTATTTCCAAGAAATTACATGGTTCTTTTTTAAGTGAGATGGAAGAAAATATACATATGAGATGCTAAATAAGAGTATAGCCTGTTTTAAATGGGTGCTCTTAACACTTTTACAGTAATCCTTTAGGTATTGCCATGCCCTTGATGGCCCAAATCTCCCTGAAGGTCAGGATCCATCCTCTTAACACATTAGGGTGCCTTAATATTACTTATTAATATTTATCCTTAAGAGGATGTGTTAAGTGAAACTCACTGATAATTTCACAAATTTGAGACTGCAAACTTAGAAGCATTAGTATGGCCAGGCGAGGTGGCTCACACCTGTAATCCCAGCATTTAGGGAGACTGAGGCATGAGGTTTGCTTGAGACCAGGAGTTCAAGACCAACCTGGGCAGCATAGCAAGATCCCCATCGCTACTTAAAAATATTATTTAAAAAATAAAGCCTTAGAAGCATTAGCCGGTAGTGAGACTCTGTCTGCACCAAGCAGACATCCCGCAGGCACAGAGGGGCAGGACGAAATTGGAGCCAGCACAGAAATTCACTCAGTAATGGAATCTTACAAAGGGTCCAAAGAAATGGACCTGAATCATGACAGAGAGGTTTCCTTGTGGTTATTGTTCTCTGCTTATGAACACAGGTATTCTTTTATAAAGAGATGCACCTCATTCTTCAAAGATTAGCAGCTGAACAGTGGACATGTTAACGTGGCTGGACCTGTATTAAAAATGAAATATTTCATGCTGCCCACTAGGGGGCATGCTGGCATCATCCCAGCACTACCCCCTTTTCATGTGATTTATTCCTAAACTCCAGAGCTCTTAGAATAATAAAGCAAAATCATAGCGTGAGCTATTCGAATAAAAGTTTCTATATTTAAAGTGCCTATGGGTGGCAACGTTCCAGAGGTGTTATGGATTCAAAATGGCTATTTTTATGTACTGTTGGTATTTAAAATGCAAAGCCATGCGAGCTCCAAAGAAATGCATGCAAAGCAAATTAGACACATCAAAAAGGGGGGAGGAGGAGAATTGAAAGGGCAGAATTATTACAGAAGAACTAATGGAATTGCAAAATGTATTGAGAATTGGAAGGAAACTTACAAGTTGCCTTCTACTAAGGATACCATTTCTTCATCTCCCCTCCCTTTACCACATTTTTAGTGAAAATATTAAAATCTCTGAGAGAGGGTTGTCTAGGGGGATTGTTTTGTGATTGACTGATATTAAAATAGAGTTCATTTTAGGCCAGGCTCAGTCACTTACACCTGTAATCCCAGCACTTTAGGAGGCCAAGGCAGGCGGATCACTTGAGGTCAGGAGTTTGAGACCAGCCTGACCAACATGGCAAAACCCCATCTTTACTAAAAATACCAAAATTAGCTGGGCATGATGATGCACGCCTGCAGTCCCAGCTACTTGTTGGGAAGCTGAGCCGGGAGAATCACTTGAACCCAGGAGGTGGAGGTTGCAGTGAGCTGAGATCGCTCTACTGCACTTCAGCCTAAGCAACAGAGCGAGACTCTCCCTCAAAACAAAAACAAAAACAAAAAACAGAATTCGTGTTACTGTCAAAAGATGAGTTATTTATTTGCATATGTGGTCATGCAAATTACATTTTGTAGCTTACCAATGAAAACTGTGGCTTGTTCCCCAGAAAATCTGGTAGGAATGAGCCCTGAGGGGTCAGGGGCGTGTCCAGTGTTGTTCAGTCAGATAGTGGCTGAGCCGAGACTTGAACCCAGAGCTGGGTATGGTAATCATGCCTTGTTTTCCTTTTTTTTTTTTTTTTTCCTGAATTTCTAGTCTCTCCAGTGCTTCTTGTGGCCTGATATTAATGCACTCTCTTCCTATTACTTGATTTTCAAAGCCCCAGAGTGCCACTACAGAATTGCATCTTGTGGGTCACATTAGCAGAACACTCTGCTTTTTTTCTGTTCTTGGTAATCTCTCTGTTAATTTATTCTTTGTATCTTTCAAATTACTGTGCTTTTTTAAAAATTATTATTATACCTTAAGTTCTGGGGTACCTGCATGGATCGTGCAGGATTGTTACATGGGTATACACATGCCATGTTGGTTTGCTGCATCCATCCCCCTGTCACCTACATTAGGTATTTCTCCTAATGTTATCCCTCCCCAATCCCCCCATCCACTGCTATCCCTCCCTAGCTCTCCCGCACCCCAACAGGCCCTGATGTGTGATGTTCCTCTCCCTGTGTCCATGTGCTCTCATTGTTCAACGCCCACTTATGAGTGAGAACATGTGGTGTTTGGTTTTCTGTTCTTGTTTCAGTCTGCTGAGAATGATGGTTTCCAGCATAATCCTTTTGAGATGCAGTCTTGCCCTGTCACCCAGGCTAGAGTGTAGTGGTGCAATCTCAGCTTCCTGCAACCTCCTCCTCCCAAGTTCAAGTGATTCTCCCATTTCAGCCTCCTGAGTAGCTGTGATTACAGGTGCACACCACTACATGCCACACCCAGCCTCTTTTTTTTTTTTTTTTTTTTTTGCAATATTTGTATCTATCTGTAGGTCTCATTCAGATCTTGCCAGCTTTCCTCAAACTGTTATAACAAAAGGGAGAACAATTTTCTGTTGCAGCATCCAGTCCAGGATCTCATGTTGCATTTAGTTGGCATGACTATGGTCTCTTGTTATCTAGAACAATCTTTCTTTGTCTCTCATTACCTCGGTATTTTGAAGAATGCAGGCCAGTTACGTTGCTGAGCCTCTCGGTCAGGCTTTTCTGATATTTCGCAAGATTCCATCCAAGTTATGAATGTTTGGCAAGAATACCACAAGAGCGATGCTGTCCTCAGCTCCTCATGCCAGGAGGCACTGCTGTCTGTCTGTCCCATTACTGGTTATGCATGTTGGGATCACTTGATTAGGATATTGTTGGGCTGGGCGCGGTGGCTCATGCCTATAATCCCAGCACTCTGGTAGGCCGAGGTGGGCAGATCACCTGAGGTCAGGAGTTCAAGACCAGCCTGGCCAACATGGTGAAACTTCATCTCTACTAAAAATACAAAAATTAGCCTGGCGTGGTAGAGGCACCTGTAAACCCAGCTACTCAGGAGGCTGAGACAGGAGAATCACTTGAACCTGAGAGGCAGAGGTTGCAGTGAGCCGAGATTGTGCCATTCATTACGCTCCAGTCTTTGGGAGGCTGAGGCAGGCAGATCACAAGGTCAGGAGATCAAGACCAACCTGGCTAACACGGTGAAAAGCTGTCTCTACTGAAAATAGAGACACTATTATACTAAAAAATTAGCCAGGTGAGGTTGTGCATGCCTGTAGTCCCAGCTACTCAGGAGGCTGAGGCAGGAGAATCGCTTGAACCCGGGAGGCGGAGGTTGCAGTGAGCCGTGATCACACCACTGCACTCCAGCCTGGGCAGCAGAGTGAAGCCGTGTTCCCCCCTCAATAAAAACAACAGGGATGTATTGCATGTATAAAGGGTACACACAAATATTTCTTCATGGACTGATAACTGTTTGCTTGATTCACTCTTTATTCCAAGAAGACGATGTTTAAAAAGTATTTGCTGTTTCTTTCCTATCCAGCTGTCCCCAAACTTTGCACTCTCAGAAGCTGTGAGAAGAGAGCAAGCTGTGACCAAAAGTCTCATTTCCCATTTTAAAGTTCCTTTATTATTTGACTCAGGTTTGCCCAATTTCCATTTGCAGGAGATAATGACTAAAGGTTGCGTTCTGCTGACTACTTCTACAGAACAGCCCACATTGAGTGGGCACCCACACCACAGGTGGAAGTTCTGATCCGAAAGCAATCAGTCTTACTATTCTAAGAATTATTCTTATTCTAAGGACTGCCCTCCTCTGGCACAGATTTACTTTGTGCTTTTTGCTATTTCATTCAAATAAACAAAAACAGTGTAGCATGGTCAGTTAGAAGAATATTCTGAAGCTGAGAAAGTCAGAAGTGTGTCAGAGAAAGTTCTCAAAGAAAGGTTCAGCTATAGATCCTGCCTCTTCAGGGCACCCTGGTGAAATGTGGCCCTTCACAGTTTAGACAGGCTCTTCCCTACAGAGAGTGATAGATGCTCTGTCTTTCCCAGATGAGGATGATGAAAAACACTTGCTCTAGTCTTTTTTTTTTCTTTCATTTTTGTTTTTTGGGTTTGTTTTTTGTTTTGTTTTGTTTTGTTTTTATTGAGATGGAGTCTTGCTTTATCACCCAGGCTGGGTGTGATCTCGGTTCACTGCAACCTCTGCTTCCCAGGCTTAAGCGATTTTCCTGCCTCAGCCTCCCGAGTAGCTGGGATTACAGGTGCCCACCACCACACCCAGCTAATTTTTGTATTTTTAGTAGAGACAGGGTTTTGCCATGTTGGCCAGGCTGGTCTTGAACTCCTGACCTCAGGTGACCCGCCCACCTTGGCCACCCAAAGTACTGGAATTACAGGTGTGAGCCACCGCACCCAGGCTTGGAGTCTTCATTATGCTCTCTGTTCATGCTTTCAGTTCATCATATGTGATTCAAATATCTGGCCCTCCTAAACTACAGTTTGCTTTCTAGCGGCACCCTGAAATCACTCATATATGAATGGGTGAACTCACGTTGGGTCACATCTTTTGTTATTGTGGGAAAATATACATAACAAAGAACTTATCATCTTAACCATTTTTAAGTGTACCCTTTGTGGTATCAAGTACATTCACATTGATGTGCTAGATTCTCCCCTATGGTATTTAAAGCTCTATCTATCTATCTATCTATCTATCTATCTATCTATCTATCTATGTATCTATCTATCTATTTAGCAATGGGGCCCCACTGTGTGGCCCAGGCTGGACTCAAACACCTGGGCTGAACTGATGTTCCCGCCTCAGCCTCTGGAGTAGCTGGGACTACAAGTGCATGCCATTATGCCTGGCTCTGTACTTAGATTATTTTAATGCTGATAAAAATTATTTAACAACGTTCTGCTTCTAACCGGCCTTAGGAAAATCACTTAATTCTCTGTTTCCTCATCTGGAAAGTAGCAATAACAATGGTATCTATGTATGTTATAGGTTCTTGTGAGGATGAAATGAAAAGCATACTTGTAAGGCCTTAGCATAGATTTCTGGCAGGTAGAATATGTTATTATGGCTAGTTGTGATCTTCAAGCAAAACATTTAAAATAGTTTTCTGAATCCTAAATTATAATCACACTAATTCACAATATAACATTTTTTCAAATAACAAGTAAAAGTTCAAAAGTCTTGGAAAAACATATTAAAATTAGCTCCTTTTCAATAAAAACTATCAAAAGAATTGTACTTGGCCAGGCACAGTGGTTCATGCCTGTAATCACAGCGCTTTGGGAGGCTGAGGCGGGCAGATCAGTTGAGTTCAGGAGTTCGAGACCAGCCTGGCCAACATAGCAAACTCCCATCCCTGCTAAAAATACAAAAAGTTAGCTGGGCATGGTGGTGCGCACCTGTAATCCCAACTACTTGGGAGGCTGAGGCAGGAGGCCCTTGAAACCAGGATCCAGAGGTTGCAGTGAGCCAAGACTGCGCCACTGCACTCCAGCCTGGGTGACAAAGCAAGGTTCTGTCTCAAAAAAAAAAGAAAAAATTGTACTTGATGTATTTTCCCTATTTAAGTTAGCAAATCACCATTTTTATGCATCGTATTTCAAGGAGATATCTTAAACCTATACATTTCTTTGCCTGCAGTTTGCTTCTTTTCTGTCCAGTACACTTGATTCTCAAACTCAATGTGCCCAGGCTTGGTGGCACATGCCTGTAGTTCCAGCTGCTCAGGAGGCTGAGGCGGGAGGACTGCTTGAGCCCAAGAGTTCGAGGCTGCAGTGTGCTATAGTCATGTGACTGCACTCCAGCCTGGGTAACAGAGCAAGACCTTGTCTCTTAAAAAAAATAAACAAATAAATAGAAAAACCCAAACTTCAGTTTGCATAAAAATCATCTGGAAAGCATATTGGAATGCACGCTCCCAGGCCTCGTTCCAGGGATTGTGGTGTAGCCTGGGAACATGCATTGTGTCGAGTTTCACGGTGGTCTCTGGGGATTGTACTTGAAGAAACACTCCTATGGTGTAAACAAACACTTGTGCCTAGATTCGGGAGGGTCCTTACTTTAGTCACAGTGCTCCTGAGATACATTTTCTGACTTTTAATATATTTTTATGTATTATTTTGAAAAACTATGTTTTTACATAAAATCCTCAGCACTCTATGGCAGTGGTCACTCACAATATTCACTGTGCACATGGATACCTCAGCTGCACTCATTGTGTAAAAATCAGTTCTCGAGTGCTCATGATTTTTGGAAACTCATACACTATTTTTAGCCATCCCATTGGTATTCAGTATTAACAAGGTATGATCCAGAAATTAATACAAACCATACCCAGAGACCATAAATCCGCTTGTGAGTGCTTTTACTTCTTTATTTTTAGTTTAGTTTAGTTTAGTTTAGTGTTTTGAGACAAGGTCTCACTCTGTTGCCCAGGCTGGAGTGCAGTGGAGTGATCATAGCTTACCGCAGCCTTGAACTCCTGGGCTCAAACAGTCCTGTAGCCTCAGCCTCCAGAGTAGATGAGACTACAGGCATGCATGCCCTCATGTCCAGCTAATATTTTTATTGTTATTTTTAGTAGAGACAGGGTCCCACTATGTTGCCCAGGCTGGCCTCAGACTCTGGGGTTCAAGTAATCCTCCTGCCTCAGCCTCTCAAAGTGGTGGGATTACAGGCATGAGCCACACCCAGCCTGTGAGTGCTTTTAGATCACCATCTTCCCTGCCTTTGTTTAGGCTGGTTTTCTTTCCAGAAATACCCTTTCTGCTTCTTTTTGTCCTTAGAAGTTGCCAAATGGTAAATTCTGTGTTGTGATTGACCCAGGCAGTTTTTTCTTTTTTTTTAAGAGGTCATTTTTACAAACATCCACATTTCTGGATTTTCTTGATAAGCCAGAATCCATTCCACTGCTCTACAAGACCTTGAGCTCCTATGTGGCATCTGCCAGCTGGAGCAGCTCCCTTCTTGAGCATAGGACATGAGCATGACCTTCACTCCAGCCTCCAGCTCTTGCCAGGGCCTTGGGACTTCCAGCATTTAACACGCATGGGACTTTCACAATTAAGCGATGTATTTTTTTTGCTCCTGTTTTTTCTTTTCTGTTTTTTCATTGATTGTATGCTATGGGAGGTGAAAGGCTTCACTCTTGCCTTGGTGATACGGTATCAGCCTTCGGGAAGGCCCTGATGATTGACCAATACCGTATGCTCTGGTTCCCTAATTATTTTACATACTTAATGCCTTTTCTCCAGCAAGACTGTGAGTTCCTTGCAGAGTCTAGCATGGTAATGAACACTTACTGATCTGATCTTTTAACATTTTATTTAGAATTTCTACTTGGATAACAGAGAAAAAAAGAAAGCAAGGAAACTAGTGAGAAAATGAATGCTAAGAACAAGGAATCATTACTTGAGGTAAGCTTAATTTTGCAGAGTGGAAGAAAAGAGAAGGGTGTTTGCTTTATCTATTTTATTTTTAAGACAGACTCTCACTCTGTTGCCCAGGATGGAGTACCGTGGTGTGATCTTAGTTCACTGCAACCTCTGTCTCCCAGGTTCAAGCAATTTTCCTGCTTCAGCTTCCCAAGTAGCTGGGAATATAGGTGTACCTCACCACATCCAGCTAATTTTTGTTTTAGTAAAGACAGGGTTTTACCATGTTGGCCAGGCTGGTCTCAAACTCTTGACCTCAGGTGATCAACTCGCCTCCACCTCCCAAAGTGCTGGGATTATGAGCATTAGCCACCGCGCCCAGCCTGCTGTGTCTATTTTTAAGTCATTTGCTTCCCAGAACAATGGAAAAACCTAAAGAAATACATTGAAATTTTAAGTTGGGGTGTTAAAATCAAATTATTACTAAATTATAGCTATTTAGATAATTCAACTGTTTTTCTTTTTTGAGTCATTTGGTAAAACACGTGGCTTTAGACAAATGAAGTTGGATTAGTAATTCTTGACTTTTAAAAAGACTTAGCGAATCCTCAAAAATCTCATCTCCTAGCATTTCATATGTTTCATTACTTAAGTGCTCCATGGAAGTCAGACATAAAGATTTCCAAACCTTTTTAAAGGGACCTCTAAGATGCTCTTCCAACATCTTAGATGTGGTAAGAAGTGTGAGATTTGGAGTTAGGGACCCATTACAGGAGGTGGCTCTATCCAGTACCGTTCAGGTGCTATTCAGTTTCTGAATTGTATTGAATCATCGCAGATTCAGAGAGATGGGGAAAGCACTGTGTTGATTACCATACAGATTGTCTGTGATGACCACTATTGAGGCATGTTCCAAAAGTTCATTTGGCAATTGATTTTTTGGAAGCTTCTAGTGAGTTTTCACACAGTATCTATGCTAAAATGAAGGCTCTGAGCTTCTCATGGGGGCACGCATCTGTAATCCCAGCTACTCAGGAAGCTGAGGTGGGAGGATCACTTGAGTCCAAGAGCTCAAGGCCAGCCTGGGCAACAGAGCAACTGACAGTCTCAAAAGAAAATTAAAAAATAAAAAATTGAGGCTCTGTTTTCAGCACATAATGCAGTTGAAATGAGTGCCAGAGGCCAAGCCACAAATGGCCATGTGAGAGCTGCCCAGATTGTATTACCCTGAGACAATGCATGGACCTTTTCCTGAGTTAGTAAATTTTGGACCTCCCTTGAAAAATCAGAAGACCTGGTGATGCCCTCGGCCCAGTTCCCACCTGGAGACAATTGGCTCATGCTGAAGAGCACCCTCTCGTGTTTACTAAGGGTGTTTACTAAGGTTCCGCCCAGGTCTTGCGCATGTCTATTCCCTGCCTGCTTTCAAAGCCCCGTGCCTAATGAAGCAGCTACCGGTACCAGCTGCCACGCCCAAGATCCTGAACTCAGGTGTTGCCAGTTCTGTTCCTGGGAGCATGCGCACAGTGAGCATTTCCCAGGGAGGCCAAACAGGATAGTCCTTGTTCCAGGACCTAAGCAATGTTTTACAGCTGGATGTAAAAGAAAATACAAAGCATGCTATGCTATGAAAAATCAGCAATATCCTGCTGTCTAACTGGGGTCAAAATTCTGAATTTAAGAGATTAACAGGACGACTAATACTAGCCAAATTTGGGGAGTGTGAACAAAAATGTTTTCCAGCTCTACTACCTAAAAATGTACTTGGAGGATGCAAAAGTCAGTAATTTTGCATTTATTGAACTAAATGAGAAGTTATTGAGAGTTAGAAAAAGAAAGCCAAAAAAAGTTTGAATATTTGAATTGTAAAATAGAATAATATATAATTGTATTCTATTGCTTTTTAAAACAAAATTTATTAAGAATTATATAATTTGAGGTGGGTGGATCACAAGGTCAAGAGACAGACCATCCTGGTCAACATGGTGAAACCCCGTCTCTACTAAAAATACAAAAAATTAGCTGGGCATGGTGGCGCGTGCCTGTAATCCCAGCTATTCAGGAGGCTGAGGCAGGATAATTGCCTGAACCCAGGGGCGGTGGTTGCGGTGAGCCGAGATCGCGCCATTGCACTCCAGCCTGGGTAATGAGTGAAACTCTGTCTCAAAAAAAAAAAAAAAAAAAAAAGAATTATATAATTCTATGCAAGTTTTGAGATTTAAAAATCTACATCTAGAAGATGTACTTTATTCTTTTCTGATACTGATGTATTAATAACTGCCTTCTTCCTTCTTTGAAAACTATCCCAAGGATAAAATATTAATTTATTTATTTGATTATTTTTATTTTTAATTTTTCTGGCTTTATATATATTTATGGGGTACATGATATATTTTGATACAGGCATACAGTGTGACATAAGCACATCATGGAGAATGGGGTATTCATCTCCTCAAGCATTTAACCTTAGTGTCACAAACAATCCAATTACACTCGTTTAGTTATTTTTTAATGTCCAATTAAGTTATTGATGATAGCCACCCTGCTGTGCTTTCAAATAGTAGGACTTATTCATTCTTTCTATTTATTTGTACCCATTAACTATCCTCCCTGATTTTGTGTGTAGAATTATATATAATAATTGTTCCATTTACCAGCAATGAAGCAGTAACTTTTTTACTTATCAGCAAAGTAATACTTTTTCTATCTTCCATTTTATAATAACATGAATCACTTTTATTAAATGCTGACTTTTATGATATCCCAAGGCTGTGCTCACAACCTACCTTATGAAGTTGGGCTATTGTAATTCAGTTTTGACAAGTAAGTGGACTGAAGTTCAATGGCCCATAGTTGCAGAGCTAAGTGGTGAGGAGGACTTGAAATCTAACTCAGGAGCCAGGATTCTTGACAGATATGTTATTCTTCCTGTCTTCTGGTAAATATCATATAATATAAAAATATGCATTCCATCAGAGTTGTACACAAAATTAACTTTTAGTTTAAAAGCTAATTTGCAAGTTTGTTTAAATGTGAATAAAAATGTATGCTTTATCTTTCGTGTGTATCTTATGTCATTGGAATCTCAATTTCAGGAAAGTGTCTATGGAACATCTGTCATTGTACCAGAACTGGAAGGAGCTCTTTATTTGAAAGAAGATGGAAAGAAATCCTGGAAAAGGCGCTATTTTCTTTTACGGGCTTCTGGAATTTATTATGTACCCAAAGGAAAGACTAAGGTCAGAAAAAAAAAAGCACTTAGCAATAAACCATTTTATGAAAGTGAAACTGAAGAAATCCTCAGGTGGCAAGTTAAATATATTCTCTGTTGCTGTGGGTTCCATAATCCTGCAGCATGTATACAAATAGACAGTAATACTGAACTCTTTTTTATTTTTTCCATAATTCCCTTGAAAGTAAAATTATTTTATCAATTTTAAAGTCAGGTTTCAAAAATGATGGCAAAAGCACTTTTCTAGAGATTATTTTGTTACTTTACCTATTTCCAAGGACTTTTTTTCACCTCTGTTGTTCTATAGTCATTATAGTTAAATTTCTTTTATCTGGAATCATAGAGGTTTTAGAAGTCTTGATAAGATTTTCTTTTTTGAGACAGAGTCTCACTCTAATCCACCGGCTGGGGTGCAGTGGCATGATCTTGACTAACTGCAACCTCCACCTCCCAGGCTCAAGCCATCTTCCCCACTCAGCCTTCCAAGTAGCTGAGACTACAGGCACATGCCATCACACCCAGCTACTTTTTAAAATATTTTTTGTAGAGATGGGGTTTCATCATGTTGCTTAGGATGGTCTGGAACTCCTGAGCTCAAGCAATCTACATGCCTCAACCTCCCAAAGTGCTGGGATTACAAGCATATGAGTCACCGCACCCAGCTCTTAACTAGATTTTGCTTGAGATTTTAGCCCTTAGACTCTGAATATTTTTAAATTTTTCTCTGAGGTGTACTCCATGAATTTCCCTGCCTAATTTTAACAGGGTATTTTAAACATCATTTAACTTTTACTTGGTGATTTGGGATTCTTGCCTCAAATTTATAAGTATGTACTAAATCATTCCTTGAAATGTAGTTTTATCTCTTATTCTGACCATCAGCTTTCTCTAAGACCTTTCTTAGAGGATTGTGACATTTCCATCTTTGGTTCACTTTTAATATATCTCTAATCTGTGTCTTGGGTAAGCCAAAGCATTTGCCTTCCCTTCCAAATGCAGGGCACCACCAATGGTGTGTTTATGCATTGCAGGATTCCTCTGATAAAGCATAACTCACACTTCCAAGCTGATGAAGTCATCGTGAACATCCAGCTCTGCTGCCTCTAGTAAGGAGACTCTTGTCTCTGTTGGAAGGCAGGAGGGGCACTATGGCTAACTCTTGGTCCAGGGTAGCTACTGTTCCCCTTAGCCTCTTCTACTCTGTTCCCAGCCTTAGTTCTGATTCCTTCCCATCTCTTCCATCTCATTCCAATCCCTCACTGGACACTGCACAACTGAGCCACAAACAATTTTTTTTCTTTTAGAAATTTTTATGTCTTAGGCATTTAAATATAAATGATACATATAAATAAGAAAATAACAAATTATATACTCAGTGATGAGAGTTAAAAGTGTTTACATTTGGCTGAGTGTGATGGTTCATGCCTGTAGTCCCAGCATTTTGGGAGGCTAAAGCAGGTGAATCACTTGAGGCCAGGAGTTCTAGACCAGCCTGGCCAACATGGTGAAACCTCGTCTCTGCTAAAAATAAAAAAAATTAGCCAGGTGTGGTGGCACACTTGTAATCCCAGCTACTCGGGAGGCTGAGGCAGGAGAACCACTTGGACTGGGAAGTGGAGGTTAGAGTGGGCTGAGATCATGCCATGCACTGCAGCCTTGGAGAAAGAGCAAGACTATGTCTTTAAAAACATTAGAGTTGGACAAGAATACTTTCTGTCACTGTTACCATTAACACTGGGTTGAGGAAGTAACTAGTACATTAAAGAAAAGAATAATAAGTATAACTAACAGAAAGAAGAGGCAAAGACTGATTTTTCACAGTTGGCATGATTGTCTATCCAGCAATATGAGATACTCAACTGAAAAACTTAGAAATTAACTAAGAAAGTTTTTTCTTTATACACATGATATGCAAACTAAATATAATGCAAAAGAATCCATGCAGTCTAGAAACAAAAAATGCAAAATACCTAATAATAAACAAGGAATGTTCAAGAGCTATATGACATAAATATAAACTTGAATAAGAGAAGTGAAGTAGAACTGAATCAGAAGAAAGGTACCATGTTGCCGGCCAGGTGCAGTGACTCACACCTGTAATCCCAGCGCTTTGGGAGGCCAAGGCAGGTAGATCACAAAGTCAAGACATCGAGACCATCCTGGCCAACATGGTGAAACCCTGTCTCTACTAAAAATACAAAAATTAGCTGGGCATGGTGGCCCAAACCTGTAGTCCCAGCTACTCAGGAAGCGAGGCATGAGAATTGCTTGAACCCAGGAGGTGGAGGTTGCAATGAGCCGAGATTGCACCACTGCACTTCAGCCTGGTTCGTGGCGATGGAGCAAGACTCTGACTCAAAAAAAAAAAAAAACAAAACTGTGCAGCTAGAGACAAACAGGTCGACAGACAGCCATCTAATATAAGAGAAGTTAAAGTTAGAATTTTATATGATAGCAGTGGGGAAAGAATGCAGTATTCAGTGAATAGCATTGAAATAACTGTATATCCATTTAGAAATATGATTTCCTACCTCAATCCATGTACCAAATCAAATTCTTGACTGATTAAAATATCTTTTTTTTTTTTTTGAGACGGAGTTTCGCTCTTCTTACCCAGGCTGGAGTGCAATGGCACGACCTTGGCTCACCGCAACCTCAGCCTCCTGGGTTCAGGCAATTCTCCTGCCTCAGCCTCCTGAGTAGCTGGGATTACAGGCATGCACCACCATGCCCAGCTAATTTTTTGTATTTTCAGTAGAGACGCGGTTTCACCATGTTGACCAGGATGGTCTTGATCTCTTGACCTCATGATCCACCCGCCTCGGCCTCCCGAAGTGCTGGGATTACAGGCATGAGCCACCACGCCCAGCCGACTGATTAAAATATCTTTAGAGAAAATTAGTATAAAATCCTAGAAGAAAATAGAGGCCGGCTGGGTGCAGTGGCTCATGCCTGTAATCCCAGCACTCTGGGAAGCCCAGGCAGAAGCATCACTTAAGCCCAGAAGTTCAAGACCAGCCTGAGAAACGTAAGGAGAACCTGTCTCTACAAAAAATATTTTAAAAAATATACATCAGGAATGGTGGTACATTCCTGTGGTCCCAGCTACTTGAGAGGCTGATGGGGGAGGATCTCTTGAGCCCATGGTACTGCACTCCAGCTTAAGTGACAGAATGAGACCCTGGAAAAAAAAAAAAAGAGGAAAGGAAGGGAGGGAGGGAGAGAGGTGGGGAGGGGAAAATATAGGTTAACGTTTTCATAATTTTGGGCTGGGGAAAGCTTTCCTAAGCAAGACTAAAAACTCAAAATTATAATGGAAAAAATGGACAGATTTGACCTTATAAAGCTGTTTTGAATTCCTTGTGGCCAAAGATACCAAACAAGCAGTTAAAGACTGACTACAGTCAGTATATTTGCAACATGTATAAACAAGTATGAATATTTCATGGATTGTGACTAATATGCATTATTTTGTTACTTAAATATCCATAAGATATAAAGACTTCAACAAATCAATAAGAAAAAGATAAACATATAGCCGGGCGTGGTGGCTCACACCTATAATCCCAGCACTTTGGGAGGCTGAGGTGGGTGGATCACTTGAGGTCAAGAGTTTGAAACCAGCCTGTCCAACATGGTGAAACCCCGTCTCTACTAAAAATACAAAACTAGCCGGGCGTGGTGGCTCATGCCTGTAATCCCAGCTACTTGGAAGGCTGAGGCAGGAGAATCGCTTGATTGTGAGAGGCAGAGGTAGTATGCCAAGATTGTGCCACTGCACTCCAGCCTGGGCAACAAGAGCAAAACTCCATCTCAAAAATATATAAATAAATAAGATAAACAGACATAGAAAAATGGCAAAGCTTTTAGAGGGAAATCTACAGAAAAAGAAGTACCGGGGAGGACTCAAGATGGCACTGTGAGAACAACCCAGGATTGGAGCTCTCTTTGAGTCCGCGGAGAGGTGAGTCGGAGCTGCATTTCCAGACTGATCTTTGTTGCCCACGGAACGGGGAGATTCCCAAGTATAGGGGAGACGCTGGACGCCTGGCAGTGCCTCTGCCTGGCGAAGCCGGCAGCTTGGGTGGTGGCGGCCGGCCCTGCCCATCGCTCCCCACAGGGCACGCTTGTCCGGGTGCCCTGTTGAGCCAGCAACCTGAGACTTGAGAGGGCTGGACTTGAGACTGAGTGAGACTTGGACAGTGGGCCCGCCCAGGGGATTGCAGGGACAGAGCGTTTGGGCTAGCCCACTGGGACGAACAAGACCGCGATTTCAAGCGATCCCTGTGCAGTCGGTCTGAGACGCTCTGTGGGGGAGGGGCGTCCACCATTACCGAGGCAACCCGCCCCAACTGAGATACACGCCCACTGCTGAGGCAGCCAGCCGTTGCCAAGGCAACCCGTCCCTACTGAGATACACGCCCACTGCTGACACAGCCTGCTGTTGCCGAGGCAACCCGCTACAACAGAGAGACTCTGCCTCAGGGCGTGGCGGAGACCACAGCAGAACAGCAGACCCTGCCCTAACAGGGCGAGCCTCACAACAGCAGGGCGGAGCCTCGGCAGGCAAACCATGGCTAGCTGGGCAGGACACCTCAACGAACATCCAAAAATAAAGCCCGAACCCCCCAACACAGAGCATATGAGAAAAAAAGGGTTTTTTTAATGAGCTCTGTTGCAGCAGAATCAAACATAGCAGCCTAACAGCCCTGAATGAACAACAGAGATCACAGCTCAGCAATTGAGCTCCTATAAAGCACAGACTGTCTCCTCAAGCAGCTCCCTGACCCCTCTATATCCAAAAGACTGACATTTGGCAGGCATCATTCTGGGACAAAGATAGCAGAAAAAGAAACTGGTAGCATCCCTCGCTGTGCCACAGCTGCTAGAGGTGCACCCCAGACAAGCAGGGCCTGGAGTGGACCTCAGCAGTCGTACAGCGAAGGGGCTAGACTGGTAGAAGGAAAACCAAGTAACAGAAATACTTCATCATCAACAATCTGGGTGTCCACTCAGAGACCCAATCGAAAAGTCAGCAACTACGCAGACGACAAGCAGATAAATCCACAAAGATGGGAAGAAACCAGTGAAAAAAGGAGGAAAACACCCAAAACCAGAACACCTCACCTCCTAGAAAGGACCAAAACTCCTCACCAACAAGGGAACAAAGCTGGACGGAGAATGACTGTGACGAAATGACGGAATTAGACTTCAGAAGGTGGATAGTGAGAAACTTTTGTGAGCTAAAAGAACATGTATTAAATCAATGCAAAGAAACTAAGGAACTTGAAAAAAGATATGAGGAAATGATAACAAGAATGGATAACTTAGGAATATGAATGAAATAAAGGAGCTGAAAAACACAATACGAGAACTTCGCGAAGCATGCACAAGTTTCAGTAGCCGAATTGACCAAGCAGAAGAAAGGATATCTGAAGTCGAAGACCAAATCAATGAAATAAAACGAGAAACCAAGATTAGAGAAAAAAGCGCAAAAAGGAATGAACAAAGTCTCCAAGAAATGTGGGACTATGTGAAAAGACCTAACCTACGTTTGATAGGTGTACCAGAAGAGGACGAAGAGAATGAATCCAAGCTGGAAAATACTCTTTAGGACATCATCCAGGAAAATTTCCCCCACCTAGCAAGACAGGCCAACACTCAAATACAGGAAATACAGAGAACACCACAAAGATATTCCGCAAGAAGAGCAACCCCAAGGCACATAATCGTCAGATTCAACAAGGTTGAAATAAAGGAGAAAATACTAAAGGCAGCCAGAGAGAAAGATCGGGTCACCCACAAAGGGAAGCCCATCAGACTCACAGCAGATCTCTTGGCAGAAACACTACAAGCCAGAAGAGAGTGGGGGCCAATATTCAACATTCTTAAAGAAAAGAACTTTCAACCCAGAATTTCATATCCAGCCAAACTGAGCTTCAGAAGTGAAGGAAAAATAAAATCCTTTGCGAACAAGCAAATACTCAGAGAGTTTGTCACCACCAGGCCTGCTTTACAAGAGCTCCTAAAAGAGGCACTACACATAGAAAGGAACAGCCAGTACCAGCCATTCCAAAATCACACTAAATGCTAAAGAGCATCAACATAATGAAGAATCTACAACAACTAACAGGCAAAACAGCCACTTAGCATCAAAATGGCAGTATCAAATTCACACATAACAATATTAACCCTAAATATAAATGGACTAAATGCACCAATCAAAAGACACAGACTGGCAAATTGGATAAAAATCCAAAACCCATCAGTGTGCTGTATCCAGGAAACCCATCTCACATGCAAGGATACACAAAGGCTCAAAATAAAGGGATGGAGGAAGATTTACCAAGCAAATGGAGAGCAAAAAAAAAGCAGGAGTTGCAATTCTCATCTCTGATAAAATAGACTTTAAAGCAACAAAGATCAAAAGAGACAAAGAAGGCCATTACATAATGGTAAAAGGATCGCTACAACAAGAAGAGCTAATGATCCTGAACATATATGGACCCAATGCAGGAGCACCCAGATACATAAGGCAAGTTCTTAATGACTTACAAAGAGACTTAGACTCCCACACAATAATAGTGGGAGACTTTAACACTCCACTGTCAATATTAGACAGATCAACCAGACAGAAAATCAACAAGGATATCCAGAGCTTGAACTCAGACCTGGAGCAAGCAAACCTGATAGACATTTACAGAACTCTCCACCCCAAATCCACAGAATACACATTCTTCTCAGCACCACATCACACCTACTCTAAAATTGATCACATAATTGGAAGAAAAGCACTGCTCAACAAATGCAAAACAACTGAAATCATAACAAACAGCCTCTCAGACCATAGTGCAATCAAGTTAGAACTCAGAATACAGAAACCGACCCAGAACCGCACAGCTTCATGGAAACTGAACAACTGGCTCTTGAATGTTGACTGGGTAAACAATGAAATGAAGACAGAAATAAAGAAGTTCTTCGAAACCAATGAGAACGAAGACACAACATCCCAGAATCTCTGGGACACATTTAAAGCAGTCTCTAGAGGAAAGTATATAGCAATAAGTGCCCATATGAGGAGAATGGAGAGATCCAAAATTGACACCCTATTGTCAAAATTGAAAGAGCTAGAGGAGCAAGATCAAAAAAACTCAAAACCCAGCAGAAGACACGAAATAACTAAGATCAGAGCTGAACTGAAGGAGATTGAGACATGAAAAACTTGAGATGAGAAAATAAATAATATTGATAATATGCAAATTTTGGCAGAATCGAGTAAGAAAAAGGGACACTCACACCTATGAGGTTAGAATGGAAACTCATCCGGTCAAATTGAAGAACAATTTAGCAAAATCTATGTAAATGTAAAAGAGAATAATAATCCTTAAAAATGCCAACTCCATGCTTGACAAATCTATTCCACAGAAATATTTGTTCATATGCACAGTAGTTTTTTAATAGCTAAATATTGAAATAACTTCTAATCCTCTGTAGAATAAATAAATCATTATACCTATACAGTAAATTCCCTGCAGTCATAAAATGAATGTCATGTATTAATTCATGTATCTTGATATAGAAATACTCCTAGATGCACTGTTAAAAAAAGAAGGTAGGACACAGTGGCTCATGCCTGTAATCTCAAAGCTTTAGGAGGCCAAAGAAGGCAGATTGTTCGAGCTCAGGAATTCAAGAACAGACTAGGCAACATGGCAAAATAGAATAGAATAAAATAGAATACTACCAAACTATTAACTATGGTACCTTTGGAGAAAAGAACAAAATAAGAAAAAGGGGTGGTGAAGGAAGATGTGCATTTTATTATATATTTTTTTAATTGTGACTAATATGCATTTTTTTAATCAGAAGAGCAATATATTTAATTTTTTTTTAATTTTTTATTGGATTTTAGGTTTTGGGGTACATGAGCAGAGCATGCAAGACAGTTGCGTAGGTACACACATGGCAGTGTGCTTTGCTTTTCTTCTCCCCTTCACCCACATTTGGCATTTCTCCCCAGGCTATCCCTCCCCACCTCCCCCTCCCACTGGCCCTCCCCTTTTCCCCCCAATAGACCCCACTGTTTAGTACTCCCCTTTCTGTGTCCATGTGTTCTCATTTTTCATCACCCACCTATGAGTGAGAATATGCGGTGTTTCATTTTCTGTTCTTGTGTCAGTTTGCTGAGGATGATGTTCTCCAGATTCATCCATGTCCCTACAAACGACACAAACTCATCATTTCTGATTGCTGCATAATATTCCATGGTGTATATGTGCCACATTTTTCCAATCCAGTCTATTATCAATGGGCATTTGGGTTGATTCCAGGTCTTTGCTATTGTAAACAGTGCTGCAATGAACATTCGTGTACGTGTGTCCTTATGGTAGAACGATTTATAGTCTTTTGGATATATACCCAATAATGGGATTGCTGGGTCAAATGGAATTTCCATTTCTAAGGCCTTGAGGAATCGCCACACTGTCTTCCACAATGGTTGAACTAATTTACACTCCCACCAACAGTGTAAAAGTGTTCCTTTTTCTCCACATCCTCTCCAGCATCTGTTGTCTCCAGATTTTTTAATGATCGCCATTCTAACTGGCGTGAGATGGTATCTCAATGTGGTTTTGATTTGCATCTCTCTGATGACCAGTGACAATGAGCATTTTTTCATATGATTTTTGGCTTCATATATGTCTTCTTTTGTAAAGTGTCTGTTCATATCCTTTGCCCACTTTTGAATGGCTTGTTTGTTTTTTTCCTGTAAATCTGTTTGAGTTCTTTGTAAATTCTGGATATCAGCCCTTTGTCAGATGGGTAAACTGCAAAAATTTTTTCCCATTCTGTTGGTTGCCGATTCACTCTAGTGACTGTTTCTTTTGCTGTGCAGAAGCTGTGGAGTTTCATGAGGTCCCATTTGTCTATTTTGGCTTTTGTTGCCAATGCTTTTGGTATTTTGTTCATGAAGTCCTTGCCTACTCCTATGTCCTGGATAGTTTTGCCTAGATTTCCTTCTAGGGTTTTGATACATATAATATACGGTGATCAGATCAGGGTAATTAGCACATCCATCATCTCAAACATTTGTCATTTCTTTGTGTTGGGAACATTCAATATCTTTCATCTTAGGAAAGATTTACACATAGATCTTACGAAATTGTCCCCAAATTTGGCTGTATCAGTTTCCATTCCATCCTTTCAGGCTTGTCTTTGAGAAAATCTATACATGGCAGATGTTTATGTAAATTACCTAAAAGTCAATATTTTCTTTACTAAAACATACTCCTTAGTTGTGCCATTAAGAACAACTAAGAAAAATTGCTAACTGTCATCTCAGTTGAAGTTATTTTTTTTCCCCCTGTTTTTCAGACATCTCGAGATCTGGCGTGTTTTATACAGTTTGAAAATGTCAACATTTACTACGGGACTCAGCATAAAATGAAATATAAAGCACCCACTGGCTACTGCTTTGTTTTAAAGGTATGTTGTAAGAAGTCATTCGTTTAGATTTATAAGCAATTTGAGTCAATTTTTTTAAGGAAGAAAATGTTAAATGTTATATAGTTAACCAAATGTGTAACATGATAAAAGTTGTTTAACCAAAATAGGAATGGGGAAACATTTCTATCAGTTTGGGGCATTTTCCCCAATGCCTCCTACCTGAACCTAAAACTTTAAAATAAATCTGTCTGGGGATTTCTTCACTTCTGAAAAATGGAAGTTCCACATTTAAAAACAATTAATTTATAATTTTATTGATAAGACTAAAAAAAATTCAGTTCTTTATTTACTGGGCTCATACCACGATAAGAAGTTTTTAGAAATTAGAAACTTGCCAACATTTCCTAGAAAATCTATAGAAAATAGCCAAAAAAAAATGTTTTAATTACTGGGTCATGACATATAAGGTGTATATTGTCAAAAGGCAATATGTATTATCAAACGTTAGATATGGTTTACATTTTTTTGAGACAGAGTCTCACTATGACACCCAGGCTGGAGTGCAGTGGTGCAGTCATAGCTCACTGCAGCCTCAGCCTCCCAGGCTCAAGCAATCCTCCTGCCTTAGCCTCTCAAGTAGCTGGGACTACAGGCACACACCACCACACCAGGTAACTTTTGTGTTTTTAGTTAAAGACAGAGCTTTACCATATTACCCAGGCTGGTCTCAAACTCCTGGGCTCAGGTGATCCACCTATCCTGAGCTCCCAAACTGTTGGGATTATAGGCATGAACCGCCACTCCTGGCCAATTTACATTTTTAAAAATTAGAATCTCAGATCAGTCTAATCAGGAGATGGGTTATTACAGCCACACATGTGGTGTGTTTCTCTGTATGCCTACAGAACTCTGGATTGAGGACTATGGTAAGTTTTTGTCTGTGTTTCTTTTTAGTCAAAAATAATAATCAGGCCAAGTCAATCATATCTAGTAATTTTGACTCCCTGAACAATTACAATCACTTATTGTAATCATCAAATAATAATTGGTTGAAATTCTTACAGATAATATTAATAATAAAAGCACCATACTAGCCCAGCTTGTCTGATACTCCCCCAGTGGTTCTCAACCAGGCATTTTGCCCCCAAGGGTCATTTAGCCAACTCTAAAGACGTTTTTGATTGTCATAGCTTGGAGGATGGAACAGGGACTACTGACATCTAGTAGGCCAGGCGTGCTGCTAAATAACTTGCAGTGCACAAGAAAACCCCCACACCAAAGACTTCTCTGGCCCCTAGTGTCAACAGTGCTGCTGCCAAGAACACTGCCCTACACAGAAGAGCCCCAAGACAATAACCGTGAAGTCACTGGAGGCAGGGAGAAGGCTGGATCCATTCACTTATTCATTTACTCATTTAGTATTTGTTAAATGACGGCTGGGTGCAGTGGCTGACACCTGTAATCCCAGCGGGAAGTCAAGGTGGATGGATCATTTGAGGCCAGGGATTGTAGACCAGCCCAGCCAACATGGTGAAATTGTGTCTCTACTAAAAATACAAAATGTAGCTGGGTGTGGTGGCACATGCCTGTAGTCCCAGCTACTCAGGAGGCTGGGGTAAGAGAATCACTTGAACCTGTGAGGTGGAGGTTGCAGTGAACTGGGATCACACCACTGTACTCAGCATGGGTGACAGAGAGAGACTCTTCCTCAAAATAAACAAAAGAAAAGAAATATTGGTTGAATGACAAGGATTATTGTTTTTTTCACTTGGAACAGTGATGGGAATGAGACAGTGAAAAAAATACAATCTCTGTCTTCATGGAGTTTAAAAATGGCAAAGAACAAAAAATAAGTAATGTGATGTAAAGTAATGAAAAGGAGTGATGTGAAGGAGGGCTAAGGCCAGGGCTCAGGCTCCTTTGGATGGGAGGTTCACAGGAAGGCTCTCCAAGGAAGTGACATTTGACAAAAGATGTGAATGAAGTGAGGGAGCAAGAATGACCTGCAGTACGAGCCCTCCAGGAATAAGAACGGGAAGGGCAAAACCCTGAAGTGAGGGAGGCAGAGAGATGAGGGGCATGCTCTGCCTGCCTCTGGTCCTCCCACCTCCTTGTCTGTTCCTGATATAGGAAAAATGAGAATAATGGCAGCTGGGCGTGGTAGCTCATGCCTGTAATCTCAGCACTTTGGGAGGCTGAGGTGGGTGGATCACGAGGTCAGAATTGAAGACCAGCCTGGCCAAGATGGTGAAACCCCATTTCTACTAAAAATATGGTGCCGGGCGCCTGTAATCCCAGCTACTAGGGAGGCTGAGACAGAGAATTGCTTGAACCCAGGAGGTGGAGGTTGTAGTGAGCCAAGATCGCACCACTGCACTTCAGCCTGGGCAACAGTGATACCCTGTCTCAACAACAACAACAAGAAAGAATAATGACAAGCACTTCTATAGCATTTTCTTTATAGATGTGGAATGTGTGCAGAGACTCCCTAGCCAGGAAGTGGCCAAGTCAGAATGGGAACCCAGGCAGTGTGGCTCAGAGGCCATTCTCTCAGACACTGTTTCTTGGGCCCCCAAAGATCTGAACATGAAGCGTCTCACACTACCCTGCCCCTCCCACAATGCCATCTGCCCTTGAGCTATGTCTTCCCTTGTTTGAAATCCTAAGACCCCGATAAATCACCAAAATGGAGGTTCTAGTTTCCACTTGATCAGTTCAACACACTTCATCGCCAGAGCGTTGTCCATGCTTCTTAAATCAGGAGAAGGTTTTGGAGAAAGTTTCTGAAATGCCAATCAGTAAACTGGCCAAATCAGAGTCACTGGAGACTCACTAAAAATGCAGGTTCCCGGGCTCTGGGCCCACTAAATCAAAATGATGATGGAAGCTGGGGTTAGGGTTAGGGTTTAAGGAGGGAGCCTAGGAATCTTTATTTTTCCTAAGCCTGGTCAAGTTTTGTACTGAGGGTTAGAATGTATCCTCACTCTATCAGTAGTCAGGGCTTAGCTGGTGATGCAGTGGCCTTCAGAGTGGGCAGACAGGATGAAAGTCTAGCAGAAGGAAGCAGGTGCCAAACCCCAGGGCTGGGGTCCAGAAACCAGAGCAGGGATGCCTGTCAAAATAAAAGGCAAGGTCTCTGACTAGAGGTTCCCAGGATGAGATTTAGACACAGTGAACAGGGCAGGGACTCCGTTTCTAAACCAACACATAAGTTTGGGACTAGGACCTACAACTGGCAGGACTTGAACTGTCTGACCTAGAACATAAGGTTATCCTGGGATTACTCCAAGAACAGCAATGCTAATTCCCAGAGTATTCAACTAGAATTTCTAAAAATTCCTACTATCCAAGGTCTGGGTCTTCAAGAGAGTTGAGGATCTCCCCAAAGGAGAGAGGGGGGCTCAGAGGTGGAGAACCCAGCAGGGCTAATGAATCTGGGAGCAAGAGTCATGAGCAACTTTTCCAGAATGTGCATTTCCTTTTTTCTCAGGATGATGCTCAGTTGTTCTAAAGCCAGTTTCCTCATCTGCAATCACCCTGCTCATTTTGTGAAGCATGCTTCTCAGTTCCTTCCCAAAATACTGAGAATTTTTATTTATTTGCTGAGTAAAAGGTCTGTTGAGATTTAGAGAACAAATTTGTTTATTATGACCATAATTTGTTTATGAAGATTTTGGTCACTTATTTCCCTTTTTGTCTGCTGTTTTTAAAAACTCTTGCTTGCCTTTTTTTTTTTTAATTGCATTTTAGGTTTTGGGGTACACGTGCAGAACATGCAAGATAATTGGGAATGTTCATTGCAGCACTACTTGCTATTCTTTGAGATGTGGGTTTCACCGCCCCTGGAGGTCTGACCTGCAGACCCTGACTCAATGCCAGATGAATGAATGCACTTTCACACCGTTACAGTGTTTCAAGAGGGCTAGGGAATAGCCGCTGGCTGCTTTCAGAGAGCTAATGCAACCAAACGACCTAGATTCCCAGTTCATCCACACATTTATTCCCTAGATGTTACAACAGAGGTTCTAAGTTAAGACCCTTGTGGGTAATTAACATGGTTAAGAGAATGGTTTCACAACTGGTAAAAGCTTTTGGCTCCAGGGCCCAAAGCAAATGCAATTAACAGGTAATTCCTCTTTAATCCTCCCAGAGAGACCACTCAGCACAAAATTAACATGAGTAAACAAAGTGGAGACAAATGGGTGTGGGATAAGGCCTTTTGGTCAGTCTCTAATCTCCTTCCTATGCTGATATTAAAGAGGTGGCTGCCTTCAACCTGCCCCAATGAAACCTTTTGGCCTTCCTAAAGGTTTGAGACTAATCTATCACTTTCCCTAATGTATCTTTAATGTTTTCTGTAATTTGCCAACCACCCCGAGTGAATCTCATCATTCTGTATTAGAGTTAGCCAATTTCCAAAATGCAAAGAATGTGTGTGTAGATTGTGAGGGATTTAGGATACAGGAAGGCAGTTAACAGATTGCACAATTCCATGGCTTGATAAGTCCAGGCCAAAGTTTCCTCTTCAGTATGAGCTTGATGACTAGGTGCTGTCGGAAAGATTGGAGTCTGAGTCCTGGCCCTGTCATCTAGTAACTGGGTCACTATTGAGATGCTAAGCCTCATTGCATCATCTTCAAGAGGTTAGAGTGCCCAGCCCTTCTCTTGAGAATTAAGTATGATGTGCTTATAAAATCATGAGTGCAATGTCTAGAAACATATCAGCCCTCAGTAAGTGGTAGTTATGACTGCCCTCTAGTATCACATCTTTCTATTAACCAGTGGTTCTCAAACTTTAGTATGCATCAGAACCACTTATATTGTTAAGACACAGAGCGCTAGGCCCCCAGGGTTTTTGATTTAGTAAGTCTGGGGTTGGGCCGAGACATTTGCTTTTCTTTCTTTCCTATTTACTTATTTTTTAATTGACACATAGCAATTGTACATTATGACACACAATGTCATAATGTTTTGATATATGTATACATTGTGTAATGATCAAATCATGGTAATTAGCACATTTATCATAAAATCCTCTC